TCTTTTGCCACTCATATTTTAATTTTTCCTTAAAATTGTGTAAAAGCTAAATAAATTAGGCTTTTCAAACAGGTGGCAACCTTCTGTGAAGCATTTTCAAACTGAAATCTTTTAAAGTTCTTTCATCAGATACTTTGATACATAATTCAATTACCTGAAGAATTAAATTGAATTTAATATTTTTATCACCTGCCAGCTCTCCTAAACAGTTCAGATATAAATCCTTCTCGAACCCATGAACGATTAAGCCACCTCTTTTAGTAATTTATTTAACTTAAGAATTCATTTAAATTTAAAATTTTCAACAGCTGGCAACTCTCTTCAAACCATCAAACAAAATTTTGACGTTTAAACTGAAGATTTCTTAGCACTCTTTGGTTTAACACCCATATTTTAGTACTGCATATAACTAAAGTCGGCTTTTAAAGCAGGTGGCAACCCTCTTCAAAACATTTTCAAATTACTACCTTTTTAAACTCCTTTAGTCTGCACCCCTGTGGGGGAACATTTTGTAAATTACCTATGTAATTTCCCTGTTAAAAATTTAATTAGATTTTTTAAACAGGGGCAACACTCTCACAGTTAAGTTAAGAAGCAAAGCTTTTTATAACTACTTTGACTGATACCTATGGCAACTCTTTTCAAAAAGTAAAACCTCATTGCACATCTACAACCAAGCCTTTTAATTTGACACCTCATTTTTGAAAATTGAGCGAAGGATGGGGATATGATGGTATTGATTTATAAATAATCTCAACTTGATTTTTTAAAAGGTGGCCATTATTTCCGGAAAAGTAAAAGCCTACTGCACATCTACATATCAAGCCTATTAATTTGATATGCAAATCAAAGTAATGGTTCAGATCTGATGACCTGGACAAAAAGTCCTTTCGCGTATTATATATCCGCCCATATGTTGAAACATATTTCTCCTAATTAATTTTCTTAATTTAAATTGCATTTAAATTTTTAAACAGGTGGCAACCCTCCTAAAGTTAAGTTAAGAAACAAACATTTTCAAAACCCTTTCCACTGATACCCATTTTGTAATAATTGATTTTTTTAGATCATTTGAATAAAAAATTTTTGAAAATCGAACGAACGGTGCAGATCTTTTATGCGGAACAGAAAAATGACTTCGCGTATTATATATATCAAATAAAACACCTCTTTGAGGTAAAATTTTCGAGTGACGAAAGCTGAACTAGAAACACAAAATTTATGATATAAATTTCGTGCCGAAAATTATACGAATTTTTTAACTGCCTTGGAAACGTACGGAAAAGCTTTTTTTATTTATTCGGAACGTTGCGAAATTCCGTTTACTGCTAGAAACACAAAACAAAAAACAACTTTAGGATGTCAACAAAACGAAGTGACGAAAATTATCTCCTATTCCCTTTCGTTTTGACATCCTCCTGTACCAAAAAGCAATAACAAAATACACGGGACTTTTACTTATATGCAATCAACACCACCTTGTATGGATGCGCCTTGGCCCGTTCCATTATTTCTTGAGGAAAGAGCGGGCCAACAGGCTGCTGAAGTATCAGTTGTCAAAACTCCTTGGACACACACACGAAATAATGAAACATTTTTCTTGACCGTTTTCTTGAAAGCTGCATACCAGCCTNACTTTTACTTATATGCAATCAACACCACCTTGTATGGATGCGCCTTGGCCCGTTCCATTATTTCTTGAGGAAAGAGCGGGCCAACAGGCTGCTGAAGTATCAGTTGTCAAAACTCCTTGGACACACACACGAAATAATGAAACATTTTTCTTGACCGTTTTCTTGAAAGCTGCATACCAGCCTTAACTAAGTAAAGTACTCGACAAAAATATGTTCCGAAAAAGAGAGGAACATAAAAAAGAAGTACTACGTTGTGAAACATCCGCAAGTAAAAGGTTCCTTCAAGTGGCTTTCAAGTATTTTAGGAAGATTTCGTTTGAGAGCGTAATTTATATACATATAAGAAATATGATATGTCTCGTGCACATAAAATATATTTGCGTTTATTTCTATACGTTTTTTATATATATACATGTATATATGTACATACATACATATATATTAGTTTTTTTAAGGTACTTTTATGGCATATCTACCCTCATCAAATTTAAAAATTGAAACATAATTTTGAAGTTCAGCTTTACCGTTTCGGAAAAAATGCAAATTTTTACATAGGGTTGCCATCTCTGAAAATAAAGTGAATAAAATATTTAAATGGCGTAAAATTTTGCAACGCTTTTATCGAACGAGAGACATTTCAGTGCACTTTTATCAAGAGGTAATATTTTTAATAGGGTTGCCAATACAATATAGAGATTTTCGGGATTCTTGGGACTTATCGATATAAAAATCGATATTTTTATTGGGGTTGTTATCGAAATTTTTATCGAATTTGTTATCGATTATTTATCGATTTCGCTATCATTTATTTATCGATTATTTATCGATTTTGATATCGACTATTTATCGATTTTGTTATCGACTTTTTAACGATTTTTGTTATCGATTTTGTTATCAATTATTTATCGATTTTGTTATCGATATTTTTATCGATTTTCTAATCGATGTTGCTGGCAATATTATTATCGATTTTACTATTGAATTTTTTAACGAATTAGTCATCGGTTTTGTAATCGATATTTTTATAGGTTTTGTTATCGATATCAATTGCATCAATCATCCTGTACCTCTAAAAAGTTCTTACTTAAAAAAATACAACCAAATCCTTAATTTGACATATAGTTTTTTAAATTCGAGAGAACTCTGCAGATCTGATCTCCTTCACAAAAAATAGCTTCACGTATTCGAACACGCATATTTTAATACATAAATATGTATGTATTTCATTTACCTAACTCCCTTAATTTAAGTTGAATTTCACGTTTTAAACGGGTGGGAACACTCCTACATATTTATTAGAAATGGAGCCTTTTCAAACCAATTTATAGTAATACCCATACTTTGATAACTGATCTAACTTATTAAATAAGTTTAATTAAAATTATTAACAGGTGGCAATACATTAAAAAAAATTAAACTTTAGTACACATCTACAGGCCAAGCGCTTTAATATCACACCCCCCC